AAGCAGATTGCGGCTCTTTTGAGTCGACTCAAAAGCAGATTGCGGCTCTTTTGAGTCGACTCAAAAGCAGATTGCGGCTCTTTTGAGTCGACTCAAAAGCAGATTGCGGCTCTTTTGAGTCGACTCAAAAGCAGATTGCGGCTCTTTTGAGTCGACTCAAAAGCAGATTGCGGCTCTTTTGAGTCGACTCAAAAGCAGATTGCGGCTCTTTTGAGTCGACTCAAAAGCAGATTGCGGCTCTTTTGAGTCGACTCAAAAGCAGATTGCGGCTCTTTTGAGTCGACTCAAAAGCAGATTGCGGCTCTTTTGAGTCGACTCAAAAGCAGATTGCGGCTCTTTTGAGTCGACTCAAAAGCAGATTGCGGCTCTTTTGAGTCGACTCAAAAGCAGATTGCGGCTCTTTTGAGTCGACTCAAAAGCAGATTGCGGCTCTTTTGAGTCGACTCAAAAGCAGATTGCGGCTCTTTTGAGTCGACTCAAAAGCAGATTGCGGCTCTTTTGAGTCGACTCAAAAGCAGATTGCGGCTCTTTTGAGTCGACTCAAAAGCAGATTGCGGCTCTTTTGAGTCGACTCAAAAGCAGATTGCGGCTCTTTTGAGTCGACTCAAAAGCAGATTGCGGCTCTTTTGAGTCGACTCAAAAGCAGATTGCGGCTCTTTTGAGTCGACTCAAAAGCAGATTGCGGCTCTTTTGAGTCGACTCAAAAGCAGATTGCGGCTCTTTTGAGTCGACTCAAAAGCAGATTGCGGCTCTTTTGAGTCGACTCAAAAGCAGATTGCGGCTCTTTTGAGTCGACTCAAAAGCAGATTGCGGCTCTTTTGAGTCGACTCAAAAGCAGATTGCGGCTCTTTTGAGTCGACTCAAAAGCAGATTGCGGCTCTTTTGAGTCGACTCAAAAGCAGATTGCGGCTCTTTTGAGTCGACTCAAAAGCAGATTGCGGCTCTTTTGAGTCGACTCAAAAGCAGATTGCGGCTCTTTTGAGTCGACTCAAAAGCAGATTGCGGCTCTTTTGAGTCGACTCAAAAGCAGATTGCGGCTCTTTTGAGTCGACTCAAAAGCAGATTGCGGCTCTTTTGAGTCGACTCAAAAGCAGATTGCGGCTCTTTTGAGTCGACTCAAAAGCAGATTGCGGCTCTTTTGAGTCGACTCAAAAGCAGATTGCGGCTCTTTTGAGTCGACTCAAAAGCAGATTGCGGCTCTTTTGAGTCGACTCAAAAGCAGATTGCGGCTCTTTTGAGTCGACTCAAAAGCAGATTGCGGCTCTTTTGAGTCGACTCAAAAGCAGATTGCGGCTCTTTTGAGTCGACTCAAAAGCAGATTGCGGCTCTTTTGAGTCGACTCAAAAGCAGATTGCGGCTCTTTTGAGTCGACTCAAAAGCAGATTGCGGCTCTTTTGAGTCGACTCAAAAGCAGATTGCGGCTCTTTTGAGTCGACTCAAAAGCAGATTGCGGCTCTTTTGAGTCGACTCAAAAGCAGATTGCGGCTCTTTTGAGTCGACTCAAAAGCAGATTGCGGCTCTTTTGAGTCGACTCAAAAGCAGATTGCGGCTCTTTTGAGTCGACTCAAAAGCAGATTGCGGCTCTTTTGAGTCGACTCAAAAGCAGATTGCGGCTCTTTTGAGTCGACTCAAAAGCAGATTGCGGCTCTTTTGAGTCGACTCAAAAGCAGATTGCGGCTCTTTTGAGTCGACTCAAAAGCAGATTGCGGCTCTTTTGAGTCGACTCAAAAGCAGATTGCGGCTCTTTTGAGTCGACTCAAAAGCAGATTGCGGCTCTTTTGAGTCGACTCAAAAGCAGATTGCGGCTCTTTTGAGTCGACTCAAAAGCAGATTGCGGCTCTTTTGAGTCGACTCAAAAGCAGATTGCGGCTCTTTTGAGTCGACTCAAAAGCAGATTGCGGCTCTTTTGAGTCGACTCAAAAGCAGATTGCGGCTCTTTTGAGTCGACTCAAAAGCAGATTGCGGCTCTTTTGAGTCGACTCAAAAGCAGATTGCGGCTCTTTTGAGTCGACTCAAAAGCAGATTGCGGCTCTTTTGAGTCGACTCAAAAGCAGATTGCGGCTCTTTTGAGTCGACTCAAAAGCAGATTGCGGCTCTTTTGAGTCGACTCAAAAGCAGATTGCGGCTCTTTTGAGTCGACTCAAAAGCAGATTGCGGCTCTTTTGAGTCGACTCAAAAGCAGATTGCGGCTCTTTTGAGTCGACTCAAAAGCAGATTGCGGCTCTTTTGAGTCGACTCAAAAGCAGATTGCGGCTCTTTTGAGTCGACTCAAAAGCAGATTGCGGCTCTTTTGAGTCGACTCAAAAGCAGATTGCGGCTCTTTTGAGTCGACTCAAAAGCAGATTGCGGCTCTTTTGAGTCGACTCAAAAGCAGATTGCGGCTCTTTTGAGTCGACTCAAAAGCAGATTGCGGCTCTTTTGAGTCGACTCAAAAGCAGATTGCGGCTCTTTTGAGTCGACTCAAAAGCAGATTGCGGCTCTTTTGAGTCGACTCAAAAGCAGATTGCGGCTCTTTTGAGTCGACTCAAAAGCAGATTGCGGCTCTTTTGAGTCGACTCAAAAGCAGATTGCGGCTCTTTTGAGTCGACTCAAAAGCAGATTGCGGCTCTTTTGAGTCGACTCAAAAGCAGATTGCGGCTCTTTTGAGTCGACTCAAAAGCAGATTGCGGCTCTTTTGAGTCGACTCAAAAGCAGATTGCGGCTCTTTTGAGTCGACTCAAAAGCAGATTGCGGCTCTTTTGAGTCGACTCAAAAGCAGATTGCGGCTCTTTTGAGTCGACTCAAAAGCAGATTGCGGCTCTTTTGAGTCGACTCAAAAGCAGATTGCGGCTCTTTTGAGTCGACTCAAAAGCAGATTGCGGCTCTTTTGAGTCGACTCAAAAGCAGATTGCGGCTCTTTTGAGTCGACTCAAAAGCAGATTGCGGCTCTTTTGAGTCGACTCAAAAGCAGATTGCGGCTCTTTTGAGTCGACTCAAAAGCAGATTGCGGCTCTTTTGAGTCGACTCAAAAGCAGATTGCGGCTCTTTTGAGTCGACTCAAAAGCAGATTGCGGCTCTTTTGAGTCGACTCAAAAGCAGATTGCGGCTCTTTTGAGTCGACTCAAAAGCAGATTGCGGCTCTTTTGAGTCGACTCAAAAGCAGATTGCGGCTCTTTTGAGTCGACTCAAAAGCAGATTGCGGCTCTTTTGAGTCGACTCAAAAGCAGATTGCGGCTCTTTTGAGTCGACTCAAAAGCAGATTGCGGCTCTTTTGAGTCGACTCAAAAGCAGATTGCGGCTCTTTTGAGTCGACTCAAAAGCAGATTGCGGCTCTTTTGAGTCGACTCAAAAGCAGATTGCGGCTCTTTTGAGTCGACTCAAAAGCAGATTGCGGCTCTTTTGAGTCGACTCAAAAGCAGATTGCGGCTCTTTTGAGTCGACTCAAAAGCAGATTGCGGCTCTTTTGAGTCGACTCAAAAGCAGATTGCGGCTCTTTTGAGTCGACTCAAAAGCAGATTGCGGCTCTTTTGAGTCGACTCAAAAGCAGATTGCGGCTCTTTTGAGTCGACTCAAAAGCAGATTGCGGCTCTTTTGAGTCGACTCAAAAGCAGATTGCGGCTCTTTTGAGTCGACTCAAAAGCAGATTGCGGCTCTTTTGAGTCGACTCAAAAGCAGATTGCGGCTCTTTTGAGTCGACTCAAAAGCAGATTGCGGCTCTTTTGAGTCGACTCAAAAGCAGATTGCGGCTCTTTTGAGTCGACTCAAAAGCAGATTGCGGCTCTTTTGAGTCGACTCAAAAGCAGATTGCGGCTCTTTTGAGTCGACTCAAAAGCAGATTGCGGCTCTTTTGAGTCGACTCAAAAGCAGATTGCGGCTCTTTTGAGTCGACTCAAAAGCAGATTGCGGCTCTTTTGAGTCGACTCAAAAGCAGATTGCGGCTCTTTTGAGTCGACTCAAAAGCAGATTGCGGCTCTTTTGAGTCGACTCAAAAGCAGATTGCGGCTCTTTTGAGTCGACTCAAAAGCAGATTGCGGCTCTTTTGAGTCGACTCAAAAGCAGATTGCGGCTCTTTTGAGTCGACTCAAAAGCAGATTGCGGCTCTTTTGAGTCGACTCAAAAGCAGATTGCGGCTCTTTTGAGTCGACTCAAAAGCAGATTGCGGCTCTTTTGAGTCGACTCAAAAGCAGATTGCGGCTCTTTTGAGTCGACTCAAAAGCAGATTGCGGCTCTTTTGAGTCGACTCAAAAGCAGATTGCGGCTCTTTTGAGTCGACTCAAAAGCAGATTGCGGCTCTTTTGAGTCGACTCAAAAGCAGATTGCGGCTCTTTTGAGTCGACTCAAAAGCAGATTGCGGCTCTTTTGAGTCGACTCAAAAGCAGATTGCGGCTCTTTTGAGTCGACTCAAAAGCAGATTGCGGCTCTTTTGAGTCGACTCAAAAGCAGATTGCGGCTCTTTTGAGTCGACTCAAAAGCAGATTGCGGCTCTTTTGAGTCGACTCAAAAGCAGATTGCGGCTCTTTTGAGTCGACTCAAAAGCAGATTGCGGCTCTTTTGAGTCGACTCAAAAGCAGATTGCGGCTCTTTTGAGTCGACTCAAAAGCAGATTGCGGCTCTTTTGAGTCGACTCAAAAGCAGATTGCGGCTCTTTTGAGTCGACTCAAAAGCAGATTGCGGCTCTTTTGAGTCGACTCAAAAGCAGATTGCGGCTCTTTTGAGTCGACTCAAAAGCAGATTGCGGCTCTTTTGAGTCGACTCAAAAGCAGATTGCGGCTCTTAAGGTGGGTTGTGGGTGTGGGCCGGCTCATGGCCGTGGGTGGGAGCGGTCAAGGTGGGTGCAGTGCGGTGGTTTCAAGGCGCAGTGGCTCACGGACGGCCACCATGCAGAAACAGGCGGCTGAGATTGCCGTGCAGCTCTCAAGGTGAGTGGGTCAAGTAGGGTGGGTGCAGTGTGGGTGGGCTCATGAATGTGGGTGTGGTGCGGTGCAGTGCGGTGTGGGTGGACTACAGATGCTCCTCTCAAGATGATTGGGTGCTCTCAAGATTCATTCCACATGCCCCTCTCTCCACCTCTCTCCACCTCGCTCCACATCTCTCCACCCCTCTCCATCTCCCCATCCTGTGCGCACGCACAGGCAGCAGAGCAGGTGGCGGCGGGAGCAGCAGGGCTGCCTAAGCGGCCAAGAGGCAAGATGGTGGTGTTGGAGGACGACCCCTCTCGCTGGCACCAGCACTCCTTCCATCGCACCGGCGCCTACGGCTTCATTCAGTACAGGTGAGGCGGGAGTGGGGCTGGGCGCGCTGGCTCAGTCAGCGTGTTTTGAGTCGACTCAAAACACGCTTCAATCAGCGGTGAGTGGGGCTGGGCGCGCTGGCTCAGCGCAGCAATTGTTTTTTTAGGCTTCTCATATCTCCCCCCCGCACACATCCCCCCTCACCTCTCCCCACCCCTCTGCAAGCAGCGCGTATCGATTAGAACCGGCACGCATCGTGGTGGTGGGGCTGGGGGCGCTGTCTGTCACAATGCAGCAAGCGATGTCCGAGGTGCCTTGAACCCCCCTCCTCACCCACCCCGTACCCCTCTACCCACCCTCTCCCACCCCCACCCCCTGTGAGCAGCGCATACAGGTTGGAACCGGCACGCATCGTGGTGGTGGGGCTGGGCGCGCTGGCTCAACGCAGCAAGCGATTTTCCAGGCTTCTCAAACCTCCTATCTCCCCCACTCCCTCCCCCCACCCGCTTTCACTACCTTCCAAACAGCACTTACAGGTTGGAACCGGCACGCATCGTGGTGGTGGGGCTGGGCGCGCTGGCTCAACGCAGCAAGCGGTTTTCCAGGCTTCTCAAACCTCCTATCTCCCCCACTCCCTCCCCCCACCCGCTTTCACTCCCTTCCAAACAGCGCTTACAGGTTGGAACCGGCACGCATCGTGGTGGTGGGGCTGGGCGCGCTGGCTCAACGCAGCAAGCGGTTTTCCAGGCTTCTCAAACCTCCTATCTCCCCCACTCCCTCCCCCCACCCGCTTTCACTCCCTTCCAAACAGCGCTTACAGGTTGGAACCGGCACGCATCGTGGTGGTGGGGCTGGGCGCGCTGGCTCAACGCAGCAAGCGGTTTTCCAGGCTTCTCAAACCTCCTATCTCCCCCACTCCCTCCCCCCACCCGCTTTCACTCCCTTCCAAACAGCGCTTACATGTTGGAACCGGCACGCATCGTGGTGGTGGGGCTGGGAGCGCTGGCTCAGCGCAGCAAGCGGCGGTTGGAGGGGTGCTGGTGGCACCGGATGGACGGGCACACCGTGATTGCTGGCAAGCTGACACAGATGGTGATGGAGGAACATCACAACTTCCTGGTGGGTTGTGGGGTTGTTGGGGTTGTTGGGTTGTGGGGTTGTGGGGTTGTTGGGTTGTGGGGTTGTGGGGTTGTTGGGTTGTGTTTTATCATTCTTAGAAGCACCATGCAAACAAACGGGCGCACTGTGATTGCCGGGAAGCTGACACAGATGGTGATGGAGAAGCATCACAACTTCCTGGTGGGTTGTATTGAAGGGTGGATGGTGCCAGGAATGAGGTGTGTGTACAAGGGTGCTGGGGCACCGGATGGACGGGCGCACTGTGATTGCCGGGAAGCTTACACAGATGGTGATGGAGGAGCATCACAACTTCCTGGTGGGCTACCTTTGAGTGGACTCAGCAGTTGTTTTCTTCCTCAACCCAACATTGTTTGCGCCTAGGTGCTACTATCATAATTAATATGTTACTGTTACTGTTGATGGTATTAATTGTATTATTTTTATTGCTATTATTGTTGTTACAATAACTAATATCATTTGCTCTACTATTATAATAATTATTATTATTATAATTGTTCTTAGTGCTGTTATTATTATTGCTATTATTATTGATATTATTATTGTCATTATTACTATTACTAATATTATTATTATTACTATTACTATTATTATTACTATTATTATTATTCTTCTTATTATTAGTAATAATATTATGATTATATTTATTTATTATTAATAATATCAGTATCATTATTGCTCGATCAAGCTCACCTTCTGCTTGTTCCGGTTTGTTGTGCGCTGCTGCTGTGTTCTGTGTTGTGCTGTGGTTTGCCCTGCGGTGTGTTGCTGTGTGTGGTGCGGTATGGTGCAATATGCTGCGGTGTGCTGCTGCATGGTGCGGTGTGGTGCGGTGCGGTGCGGTGCCGTGCCGTGCGTGCAGTACGAGATGGTGGTGCTACAGTGCACACTGGAAGAAGAGGTGGATGAGACGGGAGGGCATCTGAAGATCTACATGGACCGTCAAATGCTCTACCCGTACCGCGAGGATGTCAAGGAGGTGAGCACTGGATGATTGCGAGGAGTTGCCGGGTTCACCAAGACCCAAGGCATCTGCGGATCTATAGAGATGCCTTAGGCCTTAGGTCAAATGCTCTACCCCTACCGGGGGAGGATGTAAAGTAGGTGAGGACATCTCGAATGGTTGCGGGTTCACCTAAGGCCTAAGGCATCTGAGAATCTTCCTCGACCGTCACGTCAATGCTCTACCTGTACCGCGAGGATGTGAAGGAGGTGAGGATAAATGTCAACGAGGTGAGAGCATCGTGCAGCAGTTCATGCACTACCACCGCTCCGCTGGTGTTGAGACGTCTCAAAATAATCCGCGTGATAGTAATCTAGTTTTGAGACGACTCAAAACGGTGAGAGCAGCGTGCAGCAGTTCATGCACTACCACCGCTCCGCTGGTGGCTACAACCACTTTGTCCTCTAGTCTACGACACTGTTAGGCCTTCTTCCCCTCCCTCGCTGTTGCCCGTGCGCCCTCCATCCCTCCCTCCCGGCCTACTTCTCTCCCTCCTCCCCCTTCCACCAACGCAGAAGCTCGAGAAGAAGGGAGGGAAAGATAGCCCACTCTTGGCGCCTGGCGCACTGCAGCTCAACTCTCTATGCAGAGGTGGAGGAGAGCAGCGTGGTGCAGTTCATCCACTACCACCAGTGCCCCCCTTCCTCCCACCCTTATCCCAGAGGCTCAACACAGGAGAGAGCCCACTCCCCTGGCGCCTGGCTTATTGCAGCTCCATGCTCTACCCGGACGCGGAGCGCAGCGTGCAGCAGTTCATCCACTACCACCGCTACGCGGGCGGCTACGACCACTCTGTGCTCTACCACACCGTTGGGCTGCCCCCCTCCCATCCTCTTGCCCGTACGCCCTCAATCCCTCCCTGATTCCCTCCCTGCTTCCCTCCCTGCTTCCCTCCCTGCTTCCCTCCCTGCTTCCCTCCCTGCTTCCCTCCCTGCTTCCCTCCCTGCTTCCCTCCCTGCTTCCCCTCCCTCCTGCCCTACCCTCTCCCCAAACCAGAGCCTCAAGGCAGCAGAGAGCCCTCTCCCCTGGCGCATTGCTTTTTGCAGCTCCACATTATACGCAGAAGTAGAGGAGCGCAGCGTGCAGCAGTTCATCCACTACCACCGCTACGCAGGCGGCTACAACCACTTTGTGCTCTACGACACCGTGGGGCTGCCCCCGTCACTCATGGCGATGCTGCAACCCATGCTGGACGAAGGGCTTGTGACTGTTTCAGACTTCACCCAGGCCTACCAGTTTGACGCGTGGTTCTACTCCCAGGTGTGCTCCCTTGCACGTGTGTTGCCTCCTCGCCAACAGATCTTTGAGACGTCTCATTAGTCTGTTCTACTCCAAGATGTGATTTCACCCAGGCCTACCAATTCGACGCCTGGTTCTACTCCCAGGTGCGCCGCTTTTGAGCACTCTCAGAAACCACCTGCTTCTGAGAATCCCAAAGAATCCCAAAAAGGGCCTGCAAAAAAAAAAAAAACCAGGGCTGCTGCCCCCATCGCTCATGGCAATGCTACAGCCCATGCTGGACGAGGGGGCTGGTCACTCTCTCGGATTTCACCCAGACGTATCAATTCGACGCCTGGTTCTATCTACTCCCAGGTGCGTTGTATTGGTTTGGTACAGATGTTAACCAGATTTGTTTGCATACAGCCCATGGCTTCCACGACTGGATGGCATTGCATAGCAATGGCACGAGCTATTAGGCACCTCAAACTCCCCCACCCCCTTCCTCCCCTCCCCCTCCCCCTCCCCCTCCCCATCCCCCCAGGCAGTGGCGATGCATGACTGCATGTTCCGCATGCGCACACAGGCCGATTGGATCGCCTTCCACCCATGCCTCCCCTCTCTCCCACCCTCACCTCCCTTCCTGTCCCCCTTCCCCTTCCTCACCCCAGGCAGTGGCGATGCATGACTGCATGTATCGCATGCGCACACAGGCCGATTGGATCGCCTTCCACCCATGCCTCCCCTCTCTCCCACCCTCACCTCCCTTCCTGTCCCCCTTCCCCTTCCTCACCCCAGGCAGTGGCGATGCATGACTGCATGTATCGCATGCGCACACAGGCCGATTGGATCGCCTTCCACCCATGCCTCCCCTCTCTCCCACCCTCACCTCCCTTCCTGTCCCCCTTCCCCTTCCTCACCCCAGGCAGTGGCGATGCATGACTGCATGTATCGCATGCGCACACAGGCCGATTGGATCGCCTTCCACCCATGCCTCCCCTCTCTCCCACCCTCACCTCCCTTCCTGTCCCCCTTCCCCTTCCTCACCCCAGGCAGTGGCGATGCATGACTGCATGTATCGCATGCGCACACAAGCCGACTGGGTGGCCTTCCACGACCTCGACGAGTACCTCGCCGTGCAACCACCCGCATCCCTCCCAACCATACTCCACCGCTTCGAATCCCTCCCGTACATCACCCTCGGCACGTACGTGTTCTCGGCGCACGTATGCGAGGAGGACGGGCCGGAGGACGTGTGGAGCGAGGAGGAGAGGCGGTTTGCCGTGGAGAGAATGCTGCAGCGGCGCAAGGCGCCGTATTGCCTTCGGGGAGAGGATGATCCCAAGGTGTGCGTGGACTATTACGGCCATCGCAAGATGATTGTCAACCCCCGCAAGGTGCGTGCTGGTGGTGGTGGAATGGAAGAGACCGCAATTGGGGGCAATCCCTGAGGAAGAGAATAGCAGGGGAGGATGTTCCCAAGGTGTGCGTGGATTACTATGGCCGCCGCAAGATGATTGTCAACCCCCGCAAGATGCGTGCTGGTGGTGGTGGAACGGAAGAGACGGCAATTGGGGGCAATCCCTGAGGAAGAGAATAGCAGGGGAGGATGTTCCCAAGGTGTGCGTGGATTACTATGGCCGCCGCAAGATGATTGTCAACCCCCGCAAGGTGCGTGCTGCTGCTGCGGGTGGTGATGTTGCTGCTGCTGTTGCTCCTAGTACCGTGCTGTGATTGCTTGGCGCCGGCGGGGTGGGCGCGAGTAAAATTGCTTTTGAGACGACGTGCGCTCCATCAACGACAAGGCTGTCGCCTGCCTGCCACCCTTTGATGCGCCTCTCAGAACAGGTCAAGGGGATGCAAATGATCACTTCACGCGCCGAAAAAACTCGCCTCGCTTCATGCTGTGGTTGCTTGGATTGGATTTCTGTGGTTTATTTATTCCTGCAGTGCAGATGGAGGCGGTGTATGTAGATTTGAGACGTCTCAAAACTAGGTGCAGGCGGTGTATGTAGTTTTGAGACGTCTCAAAAGTTTTGTGCAGGCGGTGTATGTGCACCGGGCAGCTTTTGAGGCGCCTCAAAAGTCCTACAGGTGGAGGCGGAGTATGCGCACCGGACGGACAAGCCGAGCCCGGGCGGGGTGGATCTGACTACTGACGAGATGTACTTTGCCCACGTGCGCTGCATCAACTTCTGATGCGCCTCATTCGTGCCATCATTTATTCAATGCAGATGGAGGCCGTATACATGCACCGGACTGACTAGCCGAGCACGGGCGGGATAGGTCTGAGTATTGACGAGGTGTACTTCGCCCACGCGCGCCCCATCACCTTTGAGACGCCGCACATCATACTGTAATATGCTGCTTGCAGGTAGAAGCAGTGTATGTCCACCAGACGGACAAGCCGAGCACGGGCGGGATAGGTCTGAGTATTACCAAGGTGTACCTCGCCCACGCGCGCTCCATCAATGGCATGGGTGTGGCCACAGAAGGCCACAGAAGGCTTCAGAAATCGCCTCACTTTGTGCTATCATGCTGCCTACAGGTGGAGGCGGTGTATGTCCACCGGTCCGACAAGCCGAGCACGGGAGGCGTGGATCTGAGTACCGACGAGATGTGCTTCGCTCACGTGCGCTCCATCAACAGCAAGGGCATTGCCTGCCACCTTCTGTGGTGTACCTTTGTGTTGTGACTGCTTGGTGCATGTAGAAGCGGTATATGTCCACAGAACAGACAAGCCGAGCACAGGCGGAGTGGATCTGAGTAGCGACGAGATGTACTTTGCTCACGTGCGCTCCATCAACGACAAGAATGCTGCCTGTTGTGCTTTATTGCGTGGCAGGTGGAAGCAGTTTACATCCATCGGACAGACAAACCAAGCACCGGGGGAGTGGATCTGAGTACCGACGAGATGTACTTTGCTCACGTGCGCTCCATCAATGGCAAGGGCGTCGCCTGCCACCCGCCCGTCGACAAGGAGAACGACCTTCAACCCGACGACCGCGAGCGCTGCACTCTCGTGGCTGACACTGCCGCCCGCGCCCGGGAATGCGCCCAGGACGGCTTCACCAACCAGGTGAGCTGGCTGGTTGAGCGAGCAGGCAGGGCAGGTCGGAGGGCAAGGTCATCGCCTGCCGCCTGCCCGTCGACAAGGAGAACGACCTCCAACCTTACGACCGCGAGCGCTGCATGCTCGTGGTTGAGACTGCGGCCCGTTTTGAGACGTCTCAAAACACTTCTTCAATCACGTGACTGCGGCCCGCGCAAGGGAGTGCGCTCAGGACGGCTTCAGCAATCAGGTGAGCCAGTTGTGGGAGCAGGTAGGGTAGGAGTAAAGAAGGGCAAGGGCGTCGCCTGCCACCCGCCTGCCGACAAGGAGAACGACCTCAAACCTGACGACCGCGAGCGCTGCACGCTTGTGGCTAAAACTGCCGCCCGCGCCCGGGAATGCGCGCAAGATGGATTTACCAACCAGGTGAGCTGATTCAGTTGAGCAGAATTCGAGATGTCTAAAAAGTTGCTTCAAACGTCACCTGCCCACCCACGGACAAGGAGAACGACCGCGAGCGCTGCACGCTCGTGGCTGAGACTGCCACCCACGCCCGGGAATGTGCACAAGATGGATTTACCAATGGACCGGTTGGACCAACTGGCATGTTGGTCCAATGGACCAGTTGGACCAACTGGCCTGCTGGTCCAATAGACCGGTTGGACCACTTGCCTGTTGGTCAATTGGACAGGTTGGACTAACTGGCCTGTTGATCCATTGGACCGGTTGGACCAACTGGCCTGTTGGTCCACTGGACCGGTTGGACCAACAGGCCGGTTGGTCCAGTGGACTGGTTGGACCAACTGGCCTGTTGGTCTAGTGGACCCGTGGACCGGATGGACCAACTGGTCAGGTAGTCCTATAGACTGGTTGGACCAACTAGCCAGTTAGTCCTATGGACCAGTTGGACCAACTAGCCAGTTGGTCCAATGGACAGGTTGGACCACATGGCATGTTGGCCCAATGGAACGGTTGGACCAACTGGCATGTTGGCCCTATGGACCGATTGGACCAACTGGCCTGTTGGTCCAATGGACCGGTTGGACCAACCAGCCTGCTGGTCCAATGGATTGGTTGGACCAACTGGCCAGTTCTGCCCACCCACGGACAAGGAGAACGACCTCCCTCCTGATGACCGCAAGCAATGCACTCTCGTGGCTGAGACTGCCGCCCGCGCCCGGGAATGCGCACAAGATGGATTTACCAACCAGGTGAGCTGATTCAGTTTAGCAGAATTCGAGATGTCTAGAAAGTTGCTTTCAACGTCACCTGCCCACCCACGGACAAGGAGAACGACCTCCCTCCTGACGACCGCAAGCGCTGCACTCTCATGGCTGAGACCAGGTGAGTCGCCCAAGGGAGTGCGCACAAGATGGATTTACCAACCAGGTGAGCCGGCTAAGCAGAATTCGAGACTTCTAGAATGGCATTTAGAAAGTTGTTTTACGCGTTCTGCATGGGAGTGTCATCAGGACGGCTTAACCAACCACGTGAGCTGAGCCAGTTGAACGAACAGGTGAGACAGGAGTAAAGAAAGGCACAGCAGAGGGGGTATGGGATGGAATGTTGGAGAGGAGAGGTGATGGGTTAGCATTGGCGTTTCTGCTGCCATACATGTTGCTGCTGCGGTTGCACCTTCATCCTCCTCACTCCGTCATCCTCCCCATTCCCTTCATCCTCCTCACTCCCCTCATCCTCCCCGCTCACCTCATGCTCCTCACTCCCGTCATCCTCCTCACTCCCCTGTGCCATGCCTCCCCAGTTTCTGTGCAAGCCCAGAGCCACACGCTAGCTGCGTCACCCACCCAGGCACCTTTCGCTTGTAAACTACCCATGTATAATTTCGTTATTCAATACGAGGAACTCCTATTCTCTCTGATATTGTAAGACGGTTTACTGTTCATTACCAGTGTACTGCGCATGAACTCCTCATCCTCCTTTCGTTTGTCATTCCCTTTGAATTAGGGTACATTCGTATCGCCTGTCATACATGAAGTCATCAGCCCTTAGTCTCCAATTTGTCTCTTCCGAACTTTCAGTCGCCCCACAAACGAGCCACTTCAGGGTTTCTGAACCTCCAATTCGTGTCTAGCCTTGTGTCTGACATGGGATACGAATTAAGCTGTAATGAGTGATCTCTTACCGACGCTGGCAATTCATTGAAGGTCCGGCTTTTTGGGTGGAAAAGGGGTCAGCAGTTGATCAGCGATGCGGCTTGGCGATTATCTGGTGAGAGTTTGCTATGCTGGCGCGCTGTGGGTGGACTTTTCCCAAACAGATAAGCGAGAGTTGGCGTTGCCAATCCACCAAGGCAAAGGGAACTCCCGCAATGCTGGCTCGTCTGGCTGTCACCTCCAAGTCAGCAGATGCAGGGGACGCTCGCCAGCCATCACCGACTTTCTGAAACTGGGGTATACGGTACGGTCAGATAAACATAATGCTAGGTTAGACAGATGTTTTAGGTGTTGTACCATCATCGTCATTTGTCAGACACACTCCGACTCGCCTTGCTGCCTTTTTTCTCAACTGGAATTTCAACGTCAGTCCATCCAATCCCTAGGTGATCCAAATCTGTCAGCCATAACAGCAATAGCCCGTCAACACTGCACCGTCCTATGAGGAAACCAAGGTGAAGTCCGGCTTTTCCGTCACACGCAGCGAAGTCACCCAAGCAGCAACAGGCCACGGGGTTCCTCCTTCGCGAGTATCGGCGCGCGTCGCAAAGCGTAGATGAGCCGCTGGACATAGGAACGAACAGTGAGATGTCCTTTGAGTCCTCTCGAATGACACCTGGCGAAGCCAGTGCAGAGGCGGATAAAGCGGTCTCGCGCTGCCTTTGTCGGTTACGGTTACCACTGCACCCGCTCGGTACAATAGGACCTCTGACTCACATGACTTACCAACTAGACAAGCCCAGTTGGGGTCGAGATGCGGCCTTACCTCCAATTCGGCAAATCCTAAGTCGATGGCACATGCTGTTGCCGAGTTCAAGCCGAATAGCTCCTTGTTCGACTCAACTGAAAGAGCTAGTCGGAGAAAGAGTCACAGACTTGCGTACCTTGCCTTCTCGGATCTGATCCCTTTCGTTCGTTCTTCTCAGAACCCTCGCCTATTGTCGGACCATTTGAGAGATCCATTTGGGACTCCCGTCTTTTCCACCTTCCTCGAAGCGTTTGGTGTGCTTCGCCAGATTTACCCGTCGGGCTAATAGGGCGTATTGTAGTGCCGTCGGTGCAGGCTCGGTGGCAGTCTCGGTAGCAGCAGGCTCGGTAGCAGGTTCGGTAGTAGCAGGCTCGGTAGTGCTTCCTTGGTACGAACACCGTGCCGTCACTTCAGCGCGTGAAAATGGCGTTAGGGTTTACGCGAGAGCGGTGATAGCATATACTCACGAGACAATAGTGAAGCCCACGTGTCTTCCCGGCGTATCCACCACGTGCCTTCCAAGAATACCATGCGAACACTCGCATCGCGCTTCAATTTGCCTATTAATACCGTTCCTCTGCTTCTTGTCTGGAAATTCGTTCTCGCGCTGCCAGCACCAACACAACGCTTTTTTTTTTTTCACATTCTCGCTACTATAAGACGGTCTGCTCTCCCTTAACCTCCGCACCCTCCTCTTGTATCCACTCCGTGTTGGTAGTGGAAGCGCGGCAAACCTGCCGAAGACGATAAAATTCGGTTTTCAAAAGCAAGATCTCCTACAGAAAAACGTCTCGCAAATTCTGAATCCTGAACTTGCTGTCTTGGAATCCACTGTAAGGTTGTACCCGTCATCCCCTCCTTCCACGTTTCCTCACACACTCCTCCCAACCGTGCTCCCAACCTGCTTCTTCAAGTCTCAAGCCTGAATCTTCAAGTCCCAAGCCTCAAAATCCAAGTCTCAGGCCTCAATCTTCAGGCCGCAAGCCCCAAGCTTCAAACCTCAAGTCTCAAGTCTGCAGCTTGCAGCCTTCTGTGGTATCTCCCAGATACTCTCAATCCGCGTCAGGAGAAAATGAGCCGACCTGTCCAGGAGAATTCTCAGGTGGTTTGTGCTGAGGACCTGTCGCTGTTGGTCCCAGACTCACGGACTACTAAGCAGATTTGTGATGCTGCCACGTGGAAATGTTCCAACGGTGAAGATTATTCGCCGCTTGCCGGCTCTGTGAGCTGCTGCCACTCGTTTCTCCCCATCGCACCTGCAACTCCTACTGTTACTGGTGCCGCTGCTGCTGCTGCCACCTCCAAGAGCACGAAATCTCACTGTGTGGAATTGGGAAGCGGCAGTAGAAGCAGTGGCAGCGGCAGCAGCAGCAGCAGCAGCAACGATATCAGCAGCAGCAGCAGCAACAGCAGCATTAGCAGTACCAGCAGCACCAGCAGCAGCAGGAGCAGCCGTTTTGGCCGGAGGCTAACAATTTTAACTTCCAGCCGCACGAGTGGCTTCGTCTCTCGATTACTCTCCCCTCGCAACTTCTCTCCCCTTCAAAAACCTCATCTCTTCGCCTCCGCGTCTCAAAAATCACAATTCTCCCTAACAACTCCTCAGAATTCACCGCCCTTCCCAACAGAGTCCCAAGAGCCGGAGCCATTCTCACCAGCCACAATCATCCTCCTCCTCCCGGACGGTGGGGCCCACATCCTCACTGAACCAGTCACTGTGGGAGCGCTCCTGCAAGGGTTTCCCCCTGGCACTGCCCTCGTTTCAGTCACATCGTGTTGTGGCACACTTCCACCTGAAGAGATGCTGCGACGTACCATGTGGTGTGCCCCAGTGGTAACTACCACGTGCAGCGTGTGCCGCGTCCTTGTACCGCCTCCAACCACACCACGTCCCACTGCACTGCATCCCACTGTACCGCATCCCACCATACCGCGTCCCACTGTACCGCATCCGCATGCAGCAATCTTCGGGAAAGGATAGATCCGATCAGCGGCACGACTGCCAGCCGCCCTGACGCTGCTTTTGGCAAGTCCATATCGCTGCCAAGAGAAGTGCTCGAAGCAACAGAGGTGAATCTCTGGAGGGAGGAGGAGCAGCAGCTCAGGTACGGCTGTCCTTCTTCCCCCCTGCTAGCAGAGGGTGGTGATTATGATGGCGATGTTGCTGCTGCTTCTTCTGATGGTGGTGATGATTTTGATTCCAAGCAACAGGATTGTGACCTCCCATGGGGAATCAGTGGAGATTGCTGCAGTACCGGACCTAGTGGACTGGTTTTTGAGAGATTTCAGAATTCTCGAGAGTCTCTTGCAAGATCAGATGCAGCGGATTGCTGGACTGCAGAGGACGTGTCAACCTTAGTGGGAATATACGCTTATAGCGTATATACGCGTATCGTATATACGCGAACGTATATACGCTAAACGCTTAAGGGTCGATTTGGTAATACGCTTTTTCGGGCAGGTAAAAAACTATCCCGGGCAGGGTGAAAAAAACGTCGTGCTCAAGATTAAGAAGGTGATCCCTATTCTCATTAAGACTTTCGTAGCATTTCCCTAAGTCTGAACGGCGATTGGGGTGGGACGTGGAGTAGACACTAAAAGGAGAAGTAGGTAGGAATCGGAAGGAGCTCTGCTGTTAGAAAGCGGGAATGCCAACTAGAAATGACGACTGGAATTTTGCTGGCTGGTAAGTAGCGTGAGTGGGGTTTGGTGGGGGACGTTTTGGACAGGTTGGAATTCGTAGATAATATGGGTTCCAATGCGGTACCAAGCTAATGTTCAAATTTGAACTGCCTGCAACCCCACTCCCGCTTCCCTAGACCGTCAAATTGCATTTCGACTTAGGCGAAATGCTCAGCAGAAGATTCCGCATCTTTCTGTATACAAGCGATTTTTTTCCCTGGGCAGCCCGAATTTTTTTTTGATAGCGTATAGCGTATTAGCTAGCGTATTGCGTTTTGCGTACACACGCTAGCGTGTATACGCTATACGCTTTAGGGTTTGAGCGTATATTCCCACTAAGGTGTCAACAGAGGAAGACGATGAAGACGAGGAGGAGGAGAAGGCAGTGGCAGCAAAGTCACCCGCATGGGGACCAGAGGCATGGGGTGCAGACAGCAGTTTTACGAGAAGCAGCAGCAGTGGTGGCGCTGGTGATCGGACCAGCTGTGCTCTGATTGGCCACGTGTCATCAGCAGCTGAAGCTGCTGACGTGGCAGCCGGGGCAGCAGCGAGAGTGCGAGCCATGGCCCTGCAGGCAGCGAACGAGCTGGTTGAAAGTTACCGCTTTCCAGGAAGCTTCACCGCTCTCTCCCGACCTCCCACTGCTCCTTGTGCTCTCCTGGGCCCTGGCAATGCGCGTTGGAACCGACCTGGCGATTTACCTGCCCGCCTAGCATATGGACCAGTGGGTGCCTTGCAGTTTTCAGGAAATTCAGTGACTCACGCTGTGTCGTCTACAGTGGATTTTCGATCTGAGTTGGAACTTCAGGAATGCCAGTTTTCCCTTGGTGAGAGTTCATGTGGCACGCGGCTTGTGTCAGAGGGGAATGTGTGTAGAATGGAAGGGGGTGGCACACCTTGTCAGGTCAAGCTTGGGCGTGGAAGCCTCAACTCACGGCATTATTGCGTCGAGGAGAATGAGCCTTGGAGCAACCGGTGTGATGGCGTGAATCTCAATGCTGGGTGGAGCCATGCCGAGCGGTGCAATCACAAAAGCAATGTGAAGCACACACAGGCTTTACAGTCTGGTGATGGTGGGTTAGAGGCAAATGTTGTGAGATTCGGAGAACCCTGCGAGGCATTGAAAAGTGCAGTCATGAGGCGGTCAGCAGCTTGCCTGTCGTTGTCATTGGTGAATCCTCCCACTCCCAAATCCCCGTCTAGCCCGCTCTCCCCAAGCTGCTCTGCTTCGGAGATTGATGAAGTCGGTCTTTCACCGGTTCCGACTCCGCGCCTTCCGTCTAGGTTTGGAATGAAGAATGTAAGCAGTGATGCCTCATGAAACATCAATGCTGATTAAAATGTATTAGCGAGTTCCCGTGGCAAGTGTACTCCGTTTCATCAGAACTTTACCGTATCGAGCACGTCTTAGTTTTAGTGGATGACGTCAGCCTGGGAGGCTCGTGGAAAGCGTAACGAATCCTGCCATGATGTGTACTGACGGCGGCGAGTCACAGGAGCTCCTTTTCTGACTAAAAGAACCGTTTTGGACCACAATGAACTGGTTGAACCAGTATTCGTGTAGTAAGAAAAGCGAGAATGGTGGCCATGGATGCTTAGAGGTGGGGTGGATATGCACAGAAGCCATAGACGCTAGCTGTGCGCCCAAGTGCTAGACGATGACGTGGTTCGGGAAGGCCGATGGTACTTGCGAACCGTAGCGAAGCTCGTTTCCTTTTCTTTGCGTGCGTGCCAACCAAGAGAACCATCATCGACGCCACGAAATTGGGATATGCATGGCTCGTGCGTCCAAGTCGCGTAGTAGCGTCTTGACGCTGCCAGCAATTCGTGATTGTACGCCTAGAAGGTGTTAGGTAATTGCTGCTCTGTCATTCACGGCTCCTTTTTGTCGAGTATAAGCAGGTGAATTTTCGAGATTTTCGATCAAAGGGCAGTCCAGACAGACGTCTAACGAATTTCGTCAGTACACAACATTTACAAGATTCGGCCTAGCTCATAAGCTCAGCGTCACGGTGTTGCAGGGGTAGTACTAGTACTAGTAGTACCAGGTGTAGACGTTTGTTTAGACATCGCAATAACCCTCCACGGATAATAGTGATAGTAGTGACAGGTATAGTAGACGCATCAATGGGGATCGTCCTGGGTCGTGTCAACGTGGAGACGCCGCGATTCGCGGTGGAGGCGAAGACGGACGCGTTTGAGATTCGGCGATACCCTCCGCAGATGGTGGCGGAAGTGACATATGACGGTGACCACCAGGTCGGTGCATACATCACCATGCATCAACGGTGCAACGCTGCCATGCATCCCGGTGCATCATGGTGCCTCTCAACCCTGCTGATTCCCATGCCTCCGCAGAACAGCATCAACACAACGTTTTTTCCGTGCTTGCAGGGTACATAGGCTCGCTCTCTGCTGCTCTCCGCCCTTCTCAACTCCTGTCAAGCCCTCTTTACCATTCTGTAATTCTCAGAACAGCATCAACACAGTCTCTCTAGCCTTTTTGTCAGGGTACATAGGCACGCTCTCTGCCCCTCTCCACCCCGCCCAACTGCTGTCAACCCCTCTCTACCCCATGCTTTTCCCCCCCAGAACGGCATTAACACAGCCTTCTCCGCGCTAGCAGGGTTCATAGGCGCGATTTCTGTGCCTCTCCAACCCTCTTAACTCCTGTCAACCCCTCGCTACCCATCCCTTTTTTTCAGAGCGGCATCAATACAGCCTTCTCCGCGCTAGCAGGGTATAGGCGCGATTTCTGTGCCTCTCCACCCCTCTTAACTCCTGTCAACCCCTCGCCACCCATCCCTTTTTTTCAGAGCGGCATCAATACAGCCTTCTCCGCGCTAGCAGGGTACATAGGCGCGATTTCTGTGCCTCTCCACCCCTCTTTACTCCTGTCAACCCCTTGCTACCCATCCCTTTTTTTCAGAGCGGCATCAATACAGCCTTCTCCGCGCTAGCAGGGTACATAGGCGCGATTTCTGTGCCTCTCCACCCCTCTTAACTCCTGTCAACCCCTCGCTACCCATCCCTTTTTTTCAGAGCGGCATCAATACAGCCTTCTCCGCGCTAGCAGGGTACATAGGCGCGATTTCTGTGCCTCTCCACCCCTCTTTACTCCTGTCAACCCCTTGCTGCTACCCATCCCTTTTTTTCAGAGCGGCATCAATACAGCCTTCTCCGCGCTAGCAGGGTACATAGGCGCGATTTCTGTGCCTCTCCACCCCTCTTAACTCCTGTCAACCCCTCGCTACCCATCCCTTTTTTTCAGAGCGGCATCAATACAGCCTTCTCCGCGCTAGCAGGGTACATAGGCGCGATTTCTGTGCCTCTCCACCCCTCTTAACTCCTGTCAACCCCTCGCTACCCAACCCATCCCTTTTTTTCAGAGCGGCATCAATACAGCCTTCTCCGCGCTAGCAGGGTACATAGGCGCGCTCTCTGCTCCTCAGAACCGAGCTGCTCTTGCCCATTCGGACAGCACAGGGGAGGGGGGTGAGAAAATTGCCATGACTGCTCCTGTGCTCACACATGCAGGAGGAGAGAGGGGAGGAGGAGATGGAGGAGGAGGGGATGTGGGAGAGAAGAGCAGTGCTGCTGGTGAGAAGATCGCCATGACTGCTCCTGTGCTCACACATGTTGGAGGAGGGGAAGGAGGAGGAGATGGAGGAGGAGGAGGGGATGGGGCAGGGAGACACACTGTTTCTGGAGAGAAAATTGCTATGACTGCTCCTGTGCTCACACACTCTGGAGCAGGGGAAGGAGGAGGAGGAGATGTGGGAGGGGAAAGCAGCGCTGCTGGAGAGAAGATTGCCATGACTGCTCCTGTGGTGACAGGCACGCAAGTATTGGCAGTTCTGCAAACAGCAAGCATATCTGCCAGCAATCAAGCACTTACACAGAGATGAGTTTCACAGAGATGAGTTTCACAGAGATGAGTTTCACAGAGATGAGTTTCACAGAGATGAGTTACACAGAGATGAGTTACACAGAGATGAGTTACACAGAGATGAGTTACACAGAGATGAGTTACACAGAGATGAGGTACTCGTTAAGCTGTCTTCATACCCCCAGGCACATGCACCCTTACACGAAGCTCTTGGATTCATTACAGCACACTGTATATCTGAAAAAACATGTTATAATTCACGTTATCATATTTTTTAGAATGACCTCCATCTGAGCTAGTGCTCTTTCCTCCTAACCAAACCTCTCCTCGACTCTCCCGCCTTCCCTCTCCCCCTCCCCTTCCACAGCCCCTACAGCACCAGGCAAAACCACGATGCAATTCCTCCTGCCAGCGTCCCTCACGCCATCGAACACGCCCATCCCCACCAACCCGGCAGTGAGCATTCATCAGCTGCCGCCACGCCTCCTGGGTGCTGTCACCTTCTCGGGCCTCACAACGCAATCTGTGCTGCAGCACAAGTCACAGGAACTGCGTTCGGCACTAGAAGCAGCTGGGTACAAAGTGTGTGGGGATTATGTGGTTGGGCGCTACAACCCGCCTTTCACCCTGCCGTTCATGAGGACAAACGAGATCTTGTACCCCGTGGAAGGGTAATGATGCATTGGTGGTGAGGTCCCTTCTGTGTACAGCTAGAGGCAGCTGGGTATGAAGTGTGTGGGGTGGGGATTATGTGATTGGCTGCTACAACCCGCCGTTAACTCTCCCATTTATGAGGACAAACGATATCTTGTACCCCGTGGAAGGATAAAGTTGTACTGGTGTAGAGGGGTCTGTACTGTACATACCATTTTCCGCTTCGTCCACCTACCAGTAGACTCTTTATGCTGGAGCAGGTAGTAAGGAAGACAACTTGTTGGTAAAATTTTCAGTCACACGTTTATAAACCACTTTCTTTCCGAACCTCCTCTAACGGGTACAGAATTTCGTTAGTGCGAAACCACGGAATCGTGAACGGGTCGTTGTATCGCGCGAGCACATATTCGCCCGCGATACCGTAACCTGCTTTCTCCAACGCACTCCGCAGCTCCTGCGACTTGTGCTCCAGCACAGCATTCGTCGTCAAACCCGAGAAAGTGAGTGCACCAATCAGGCGCGCAGGAACCTGTCGCACGCGCACGTCTGGGTTGGTGGGAATGGGGGTGTTTTCTGGTGTGAACGATGCTGGCAGGAGGAACTGCATCGTCGTTTTGCTCGCTGCTGTGGTTGATTCGCCAGCGCCCGTTTCTCCTGCGACGGGTGTTACCACTTCTGTTACCACAGGAGCAGTCATGGCGATTTTCTGTGGTTCACCACTCCCACCACCCTCACCAGCCCCCCAACCACCACCATCAGCACCAGCAGCAACACCACCAGTTTCAGCAGCTGAAGCAGCTTCACCAGCAGCAGCACCATCACCAGCTGCAAAATCCCCATCCGCAGCAGCAGTAGCACTTGTTTCTGTGATAACAGGAGCAGTCATGGCAATTTTCTGCCGCTCCTCCCCTCCCGTTCCCTCCCCTGGAGCAGGTTTTCTGTTCTCTGCTGGACCCAGCACCCCGATGTAGCCTGCCAGGGCGAAAAATCCGCTTCTGGAACCGACACGCTGTGCATCGAGGGGGAGGGGAAGGGTGGTAAGGGACTTATGGCGAGATATAGTTGAAGGAGCATCTTAACTATTATCTACTGAACCCAGCACCCCAATGTAGCCTGCCAGGGCGAAGAACCCGCTTCTGGAGCCAACACGCTCGGTAGGAAGGAGGAGTTGGAAGGGAGTAGAGGAGAGAAGGGATGACAGGAGGAGAAAACCAAGCAGTTGACGGATACTATCATCTACTGGACCCAGCACCCCGATGTAGCCTGCCAGGGCGAAAAACCCGCTTCTGGAGCCAACACGCTTTGCGTCGAGGGGGAGGGGAAGGGTGGTAAGGGACTTATGACAAGATATGGTTGAAGGAGCATCTTAACTATCATCTACTGGATCCAGCACCCCAATGTGGTCTGCCAGGGCGAAGAAGCCGCTTCTGGAACCGACATGCTGTGCAGGGAGGGAGGGGTGCAAGGGGGGTGAGGGAGGGGAGGGATGATCAGATACAGTTGAAGGAGCAGCTTAACTGTCATCTACTGGACCCGGCACCCCGATGTAGCCTGCCAGGGCGAAGAAACCGCTTCTGGAGCCGACACGCTGGGCAGGGAGTGGGGGTGGGTGTGAGAGGTGCAAGGAAAGGAAGGGATGAGAGAGAGGGAAGGGATGACAGGGACGGAAATCCAGAAGCAGTTGAAAGAGCAGCTTTAATTTCATCTACTGGATCCAGCACCCTGATGTAGCCTGCCAGGGCGAAGAAACCGCTTCTGGAACCAACACGCTGCACGGGGAGGGGAGTGAGTGGGACCGGAGTGAAAACACAAAGCTGTGAAGTAAAATTTAGATTTTATTATTTCTGTGAGGCGTCTCATAAATTGAAGGAACACCTGTATTATCACCTACTGGGCTCATAACTCCAATGTAGCCTGAACGAGCAAAGGAAATGCTCCCGGTGCCAACACGCTCGGCGAAGAGGGAGTGGGAGGGAGAGGAAGGGCTGGGAAAGGGGGAGGACACAAGATGCACGAGGACGCCAGGAACAATCGAAGCAGCTCTACTGTTACCTGGAACCTCATTACAACCTGCTAAAGGGGAAAAAACCCTCATTGAATCCAATGAATCTCAGAATTGATAACCCCATTACATGCAACTTCTTCATTAATTAAGTGGAAATCGTGGTAATTGTCAGTCGCTTCTCCGCATTTGGCGGAGACAGCTAGTGGTAATTCTATGTAAAAAGAAAAAAGAGAAGTCACACGTTACAAGTTTTTTTGGAGGACCATAACCATCTTAGGATGATATTCCGCGACCAATTACCGGGATATGGTGCACGGTATGCATCGGGATGCACCGGGATGCACCGCAAAGCGCCGTGCTGCACCGCACCTGAAAGTGGTCGCCGTCGTAAGTCACCTCCGCCGCCATCTGCGGCGGGTATCGGCGAATCTCAAAAGCATCCGTCTTCTCCTCCACCGTGAATCGCGGCGTCTCGACCTCGATGCGACCCAGCACGGACCCCATGAAGCCTCGATGTAAAGCGCCTTGGCGTGCTGCGACTCGGCACGCTGCGGCTCGGCGCGCAGCTGCCGTGACGACCGCCAGCCGCGCAAATTCAATCAGAATACCTAATTAGCGAAGCGGCAATAACGGAAGAAACAAGCTTCGCGATAGCAGCGTAGTCAGAACCTAGGATCGCCAGAGCTGATTTTGAGTCGCGAGAGATAAGAAGCAAGCTGTAAGAAAACTGATGGTGGGAAATCGGTGTTGCCTTGTGTGGTGTGGAATGCAAGAAGCAAGGCGACAGGGGAGAGTGCCCTCGCGAAAACTCAGCTTCTAACGAAAGTATTTCGCAAGTTACCGGTAAAAATGCAGCGTTCGCAATACGGATACCACATTAGGGCGAAACATTCAGGGACGCCGAAAAGCAGTGCGAAAAAGGTGGAGAGCAAGTGCTTGAAAAAGGCTGCTCTACAGCTCAATCTGTTATGCAATGGTTGAATATGTTGAACTGTTTACACTGGCAAAGGAGAATTTAGAGTGAAATGATCTAGTCAACTGCAGTGCTCTCTCCTCCCTGTTCAACCTGAACCATTACAAGGCCCACTATCTGGTCTCCTCCTAGCCACATCTCCTTCCATTTCCCATCAGCAAAGCCCCGTGCCTCCTACACCAGATGCCCCTCCCCTTCCATTCCCTAGTTAAAACACCCGATGGTACAACATCTGGCACTATCGGACCAATCTTATGGCACCATGTGGTTGGTTTGAGATCCCATTTCCCTGTCTAGGTCCAGAAGCTATCTGTTGCAAGAACCCACTGTTCCATGGCCAATCCCACGATCACGAGACCCCAATCTCTTCCAAGTCCCCTCTCTGTCCCAATTCCCCTCTCTCTATCCCAAGACCCCTCTCTGTGCCACAACCCCACTCTTTACTCCATGACCCCGCCCCTCCTAGCGGTGGCGAGTTTCCTTAGCACCACCACCACCACCAGCACTACCACCACCAGCACCACTGCTGTTCCACGAACCCTCTGTTCCAGACCCTTCTCTTTATTCCACGACCCCACCTGTCCTAGCGGTGGCGAGTTTCCTTGGCACCACCACCAGCACCATCTCTCCCACCACCGCCACCACTGCTGCTACCACGATTACGATCCCCTGTGGTGCTACCCCCACCACCGCCACCACTGCCACCACCACCACTGCCCTTGCCACTGCCACGATCACGACCCCCTGTGCCACTACCACCACTGCAGCCACCGCCACCGCCACCGCCACCGCCACCACCACTGCCACGGTCCCGGTCCCGGCCTCCTGTATTGACGTTGTTGCCCCTGTTCCTGCCAGCCCCACCCCGTTTCCCTCGGTTTGCAAATTCCTGATCCTGTGGCGGCCTCCCCATTGGTGGACTCATCATCACCCCCTGCGGCTTGCCCAAAATTCCGTCTCCTCTATTTCCTTCTGCCCAGCCTGCATTTCCTCCTGGCCCTCCTTCTGCCCGAGTCATAAAACCCTCCGCGCGACCAATAATTCCGTCTGCCCGGCCGCCATACGCACTGCCCCCACTAAAATAAACCTCAGCAGGAGGAGGAGGAGCAGGCGTGGGTGTATAAGAGGGCACATTAGAGTAACCACCACCTGCACCACCACCAGGGCCACCGACATTACCACCGTAACTATTCCCGAAACCACCGCTCCCGGTGTTACAGCTCCCCATGCCACCATTATTATACCCGCCAGACCCTGCTTCTGGTCCTCTTACAGTGTAGCCCTGGCCAGGCTGCATCGCGGGGGTGGTGTTTTCAACAACGTAAGACAAACCACCGGGCCCGATGGATCCGCTACTGCTGCCCATAAACTGCTCATTGGCATTCGTGAATGGTTCCATGTTACGATTACCAGTGTACGGCTGGCCTGGTAAACCCCCTCCTCCAGATGCACCCCTTGTGTCGACCCTCGTGTCGATCCTCGTGTCATAAGTGGGAGGTGGTCCCGGGGGGAGAGGAGGACCGTTTGGAGTAGAAACAGGACCAGCGGCAAGCCAAGGGGGGGTAGAGAGGGACGAACCACCAGTAGTAGCACCACTGCTGTAGGGTGCACTCGCACCATACCCCCCAGGTCCAGGGGTATTTGCAGCAGTGCCATAGGAGCCTTGCGAACGAACGCCCTCTATGCTTCCCCCAGCAGGAGTGGTACCATATGACCCTCCTGCTCCAGTGTACACCTGAACAGGCTCATACTGCTGCAAAACACCTGACATTTCACCTGAAATTCTCGCCTGCTGCTGCTGCGGTGGCTGCTGCTGCCCCACAGGCTGCCCGGAAAGTCTTACAGCTTGCTGAGTCAACATCCCATCCTTCCCCACAACAAATATTTGCTGCCCCCCTGACTCTGCTTGCAGTGACACCCCCCCTTGCTGCTGCCCACCCTGCTGCATCCCCTGCTGACCCCCCTGCTGCAATCTCCCCACCTGCACTCCCCCCTGCTGCAATTCCCCCCCCTGCACTCGTCCTTGCTGCATGCCCCCCTGCTGCATTCCCCCTTGCGGAAGCATCACCCCATCCTGTCTCCCCCCCTGCTGCATCCCCCCTTGCTGCATTCCCCCCTGCTGCATTCCCCCCTGCTGCAATCCCCCTTGCTGCATTCCCCCCTGATGCATTCCCCCCTGCTGCACTCCCCCTTGCTGCGTTCCCCCCTGAGGCAGCATCACTCCATCCTGCCCCACCAACCGGCCATCACTAGCACTGACTAAAATAAGCTGCTCGCCCCTTGCTGCTGCAGCTGCTGCTGCCGCCGCTGGGATAGCCACATAAACCACGTCCCCTGCTCCTCCCCCTCCCATTCCTCCCACCATTCCTCCCCCCATTCCTCCTGTCATTCCGGCTCCCATTCCGCCCCCTGTCCCTGCCCCCATTCCTCCAGCCGCCCCTCCCCTCATCCCTTCCGCCATTCCTCCTCCCGTTCCTCCACCCATCCCTCCACCGCCCACCACTCCTCCTAATCCATCTGCACTCCCTGGTATACTGCCCCCACCCACTCCACTGCCTTGCATGCCTTGCATACCAGGACCAGAAACACCACCACCACCATAACCACCAGAACCAGCAGCACCATACACAGCAGAACCGCCACCAGCAGGAGCAGCAGGGGCCGTAACAGCAGGAGCAGGAGGAGCAGGGGCAGGGAAAGGAGCAACAGTGCCTAGGGGAAAGCCAGGGCCTGACACAACAGCACCCATTGCACCAACACCACCAGCACCACCACCACCACCAACACCAGCACCAACAGAACCAGCAGCAGCAGCAGGAGGAGCCTGCTGAATGTTAGACACAGCCATACCACCCTGCCCATACACCTGTCCCCCACTACCAACCCCCACTCCCATCCCCATACCCATCCCCATATCCACCCCCCCACCCGCTCCCACATGCCCACCCACATCCCCTGAGCTCCCAGCTGTACCCCCATAAGCCGCGCCCCCATGACCTGCTCCACTATAAGCCGACCCATTATAAGGAACACCGCCATACGGCATGTTTGAGACGGGAGCGGGAGCAGGAGGCAGGGGGTTATAAGGGGGGACAGGTTTAGGCGGGGTGGCAGAAACAGTCATCAGCAGTCTGGCTTCCGGCTTTGCACTGCTGCCCTCCATGTAATCACGGTCGTTGCTGCTTGGAAAATAACCTCCTCCCTGCTGCCGATCCTTAAAGTCACGGTCGTTTCTGTCACGCCCGATATTATCCCGCTCGTTATTGTCACGTCCTCTCTTGCTCCCTGGGCTGCTGCCAAGCTCGTTATAATCACGCCCCCTCTTGTCACCACCACCACCATGATCATAACCTCTTTTTCCATCCCTTCCCCACCGCTCCCTTTCCCGCTCCCGCTCCCTTTCCCTCTCCCTATCCATTTCGTTCCTCCCCCGCTCCCTCTCATCCCTGTCCCTCTCTTCCCGTCCCCGGCCTCCATCCCTCCTCTCATCCCTCTCACCCCGCCCAAGCCTGTCTCTCAAGTCACGTCTGTTAAAAAAGAGAGCAGAGTTCCAAAACACCCCCAATTCACAGCCACCAGAAAGAACAGAAGGCAGGAGACAAAAGAAAAAAAGCCAGGCAGGAGAGAAATGGATGGAAGGAGGGGAAGGGGAGAAGGTGGGGGAGAGAGATGAGGATGGAATAGGCAAACACGGCACAGGTAATCTATGCAAGTGGCAAGTTTGGAGACGTCTCAGAAGACGAATTATGAGACGTCTCAAAAGACGGAGTAGGCAAAGCATGCATGGCACAGGAAATTTATGCAAGTGGCAAGTACTTCCATGTGGTTTTGAGACGTCTCAAAACTACACTTCTATCACACGAGAGATGAGGATGGAGTAGGCAAAGCATGGCAGAGGTGAACTACGCAAGTGGCAAGTGGCAAGTGCTTTCGTGTGGCCTGAAAGAAAAGGTAGTCAAAAGAAAAGGTAGACACAAGAAACCCGAAAACAGGGATGATGATAATGGCACATGCCGTCTCATCCCACTCCATCTCATCCCATCCCACCACACCTCACCACTTCTCATCTCATTCAATCCATCCCCTCACATCACACCTCACCTGGGCGAGTGCTGTCGGGCGATGGGAAGAGGCGAGAGGCGCTTGTCCCACCTGCGTTGCTTCTCACGCTGCTCCGCTCCACCGCCCACACCTGGATGAGTGGAAGCACATCCCATCCCACCACACCTAACCGTTCCTCATCTCATTCCATGCCCTCACATCACACCTCACCTGGGCGAGTGCTGTCGGGCGGTGGGCGGCGAGAGGCGCTTGTCCCACCTGCGCTGCTTCTCATGCTGCTCCGAACCTGCTCCTGCACGAACAAGCAGACCAAGAAGAGTGAAACGAGAGAAGTGCGGGCGGGTATGAGCAAGGCAGTTCTACCAAGGTCAACAAGTCACTCCTGCCACCCACGCTGCCACTCATGCTGATCCGCACCTGCGCCCACACCTGCATGGAGGAGTGGAAGCAGAGGAGTGGAAACAGGGGAGTGCAGCGAGTGTGGGCAAGGAAGCAGTGGCAAGGTTAACAGGTCGCTTCACTTCTGCCGCGCCAGCGACTTTTGAGACGTCTCAAAACGAGTGTGGGCAAGGAAGCAGTGACAGGCTTAACAGGTCACTTCACTTCTGCCGCGCCAGCGTGAGAGCAGTGTGATGTGAACTGCCTCTCTTGCTGATCCGCACCAGCATCCACAGGAGGAAGGTGAAATCACTACAACACATGCCATACAAGCAGGCTCACCGGCAATATGAAGGGAGTCCTTGAGAACGCATGACCAGATTCATTGCACCCAAAGAAAGCTACGCGGCCTTATGATGCGACCAAGTTCGTTGCATCCCCAGCAGGAGCTGTCAGTAACGGACAGTTGGGCAGCGGAGCCCTTACTTCCGTCAACTCGTGTGGCCCTTGAGCATGCATGACCAGGCTCATTACACCCAAAGAAAGCCACACAGCCTTATCATGCGTATCATGACCAAGTTCGTTGCATCCCCAGCAGACTCACCAGCAATCTGTGGGCAGTCCTTGAGCATGTGTCCAGATGCATTGCACCCGAAGCACTTGACTCCACTTGCCGCCGCCTCAGGCATCCCAGCAGCAGCAGAATCAGATGTCACCCCAGACCAGATGGCACCCCGCCAGGCGTGGGGGGCAGCATGGCAGGGCGGGAGGGGCAGTGCTTGTGCAGATGCTCGAGCTGCTTGAGACTCACTCACCAGCAATCTGTGGGCAGTCCTTGAGCACGTGTCCAGATGCATTGCACCCGAAGCACTTGACTCCACTAGCCGCCGCCTCAGGCATCCCAGCAGCAGCCGAATCAGAGATCACCCCAGACCCAGACGGCACCCCGCCAGGCGTGGGTGGCAGCATGGCAGGGCGGTTAGGGCAGTGCTTGTGCAGATGCCCTGGCTGCTTGCACCCGAAGCACACCACCTGCGAGTGATGCTGCCTCTGCCTGTCCGGGCAATCCGACGAGCGATGCCCTTGCTGCCCGCAGGAGAAGCAGCGCAATGGAGTGGTGGGCTGGCTGGTCTGTGAGGGTAGGGAGATGGATGAAAAAGAAGGGAGAAATATGCAAGTGAGTAGCAGAGGCATCAACGATCACACCTGCTTTTGAGATGCCTCAAATGCGGGCTCGGTACGGTTGGGCTGTGGGGTCAGGGAGATGGATAAAAAAGAGGGGGAGTACGATGCAGGTGAGCAGCAGAAGCATCAGAGATCACCCCATCCCAGATGGCCCCACACCAGGCGTTGGCGGCAGCATGGCAGGGCGGTTACATTAGCATCCAGCACACATGTATTCACATAAAAATAGTGATAGTAGTTTCACGTAAACCAATGCATATTCACATAAACTTAGTCATAGTTATCACACATGCATCAACCAACACATATTCACACATGTATAGCAGTAGTAATCACACATACAACCACACATTTTCACCAATAACCCCACAGAAAAAAACACTCACCTGTTTGGAGACATCTCTCCAAAACGATTCTCGTCCTGTCCACCACCATGCCGTAGCAGCACTCTATGTCGGCACGTGACGTGTAAAAATAGTACTTTTGAGACGTCTCAAAAATACTCGTCCTGTCCATCACCATGCCGTAGCAGCACTCTATGTCGGCACGTGATGATTCTATTTTTGAGTCGACTCAAGAAATAGACTAGCAGCACAACAACATCCACCACATGTCATCTCACACCCATTGACACACACAGTAACCCCATCAAAAAGCACTCACTGGTTTGGACATCTCCACGATGATCCTCGCCCCATCCACCACCATGCCGTCACAACATTCTATGGCAGAACTAGCAGCACAACATGCACCACACACATATCCACACACAACGTCACACACACATATCCACACACAACGTCACACACACATATCCACACACAACGTCACACACACATATCCACACACAACGTCACACACACATATCCACACACAACGTCACACACACATATCCACACACAACGTCACACACACATATCCACACACAATGTCACACACACATATCCACACACAACGTCACACACACATATCCACACACAACGTCACACACACATATCCACACACAACGTCACACACACATCCAGCACACAGTAACCCCATATGAAGCACTCACTGGTTTGGACATCTCCACAATGATCCTCGCCCCGTCCACCACCATGCCGTCGCAGCGCTGCTGCGCTTCCTTGGCATCTTGTGCGTTGTTAAACTCCTGCCAACAGAACACACAGCAGGGTTTTGGGGATACGAACCATTCATTGGACTGGACAGTTGTGCCGTGTTTTTTAAGCATGCTGACAGGGGGATTCATGCAGGCCTAAATGCTCGCCGCCGTCCGAGAACCTGCAAATTGAACGTCAAGCTGCCCACCACCTGTCAGTCAGCCAGCCATCTTCCAGTTTGATAAGTCGATTTTTAAGTCGACTAAAAAATCGACTTATCACAGCCAGCCATGTTCCAGTTTGACGCCCTTTGTGCTCTGACTGACACCAATCTCTCCATTCAGTCATCCAATGATTTCTTTTTACCAATGATGCGATTGATCCTTTTTCCTGTGCTGCCTTCATGGCACCAAGGAATTTGTCATCACCCGGGTGGCTTACTCGCTCTCCTCAACAAGACATTTGATCCATAAAATCTTCGTAAGTCAAGTCCTTCAAGGATGGATCAAGGGCTAACTTATTTTCAGCCAATCGTCACCGTCATGGCCAGCTTGCGATGGTCTGTCAACATTTTTGAGGCGTCTCAAAAATCGCTCTCCTCTGTGGTTTCATAAGAACTTTGCAAGTCAAGTCCTTCAAGGATGGATCAAGGGCTGGTTTATTTTCAGCCAACCCGTCACCGTCATGGCCAGCTTGCGATGGTCATTTTTGAGGCGTCTCAAAAATCGCTCTCCTCTGTGGTTTCATAAGAACTTTGCAAGTCAAGTCCTTCAAGGATGGATCAAGGGCTGGCTTATTTTCAGCCAACCCGTCACCGTCATGGCCAGCTTGCGATGGTCTGTCAACATTGACCATGAAGAGGACGGGTTGGGGCGGTAGTTTGGACGGATGGCGATGAAGCGACCACTACAAACACGACAGCAGATTGTGGTTCGAAGATACTGCCATGAACACGAAGCTGAAGGCGTAACTGTAGGAAGAACGGACGATGGTGACACGACCATGAGAGAGAGAGGAGACCCTGGTTCAAGACACCATGAGGTAAACGGATCGGAACTGCGATCTGGACGAACGAACGTCGGTGAAGCCACCACGATGTGCACAAAAGGAGATTGTGGCTCGGCCGTGTGTGCCACCGTACGGCTGTGGCACCGCATGCCGTGCCGCAGTGCCATGCCGCCATGCCATCGTGCCGCCTTACCGCTGTGCCGCTGTGCCTTTGTGCCACCGTGCCTCCATGCCATCATACAACCGACAAAGGAAAGCGAAGACAGCATGAAGAGGAAAGTCTTGCCATGGTTCGAACAAAGAGTGGCGAAAAGACCACGTCGTAGCCGAGTGAAGAGTGGCGAAAAGACCACGTCGTAGCCGAGCGAAGAGTGGCGAAAAGACCACGTCGTAGCCGAGTGAAGAGTGGCGAAAAGACCACGTCGTAGCCGAGTGAAGAGTGGCGAAAAGACCACGCCGTAGCCGAGTGAAGAGTGGCGAAAAGACCACGTCGTAGCCGAGTGAAGAGTGGCGAAAAGACCACGTCGTAGCCGAGTGAAGAGTGGCGAAAAGACCACGTCGTAGCCGAGTGAAGAGTGGCGAAAAGACCACGCCGTAGCCGAGTGAAGAGTGGCGAAAAGACCACGTCGTAGCCGAGTGAAGAGTGACGAAAAGACCACGTCGTAGCCGAGTGAAGAGTGGCGAAAAGACCACGTCGTAGCCGAGTGAAGAGTGGCGAAAAGACCACGTCGTAGCCGAGTGAAGAGTGGCGAAAAGACCACGTCGTAGCCGAGTGAAGAGTTTGGTTTGGACGACGGATGTCGAAGAGTCCGTCCACGTGGCAGACATTTGAAAGACTGTGGTTGGGAATTGCGTGGTGAAGAAACCACGAAGTAGACGACGGTAGTCGTTGCTTTTGAGGGTGGCTGCGAGTCCCCAAAGTACATGAGCGATTGAGATTTTGGATGAGGAGTGGCAGCGAGACCAGGAAGTGGACGGGAGATGATTGTGGTTCAGGTGAAGGTTGCAGATGGGAGCCAGATTCGAGTGGAGAGGAGACTGAGGTTCGTATAGAGAGGGGTGAAGAGACCAAGAAGTAGATTAGTCTGGAAGTGGTTAAAAGGGTGACAAGAGGACATGTAGTAGACGCACGACAGTTGTGGTTCGAACAGAGGGTGAAGAAACCATGAAGTAGAAGGATGGAGCAAAGGTTCAGACATCATGAGGCCATTGACTCTTTGTTTCGAAGGACGTTTGAAAGAATGTCAACTTACAATTACAACAAGAAATATAAGCCAATGAACATGAGCGCATGCAAGTCTTACCATGTATGTTAAGGCTCCACTCCATCCACCGTAGCCTGAAATGCATATGTATGGTCCCATACACACATCTTCACTACAAGGACAACAGAGAAGCAATGCAAAAGTGTCTTACCACAAGGTCAAAACCAGTCTTGAGAGGTTTTCTTCACGCCTTGACACCTGAATGAATGGCATATGGTTGATATTCTTTTCTTGTCAAAGGACCATAGCAGTACGCAAGCAAGAGGCTTACCACGAAGGCATAGTCGGTCTTCATGTCGACTCTCTTCACCCTAAGTGGTGGGAGAATCGTGGCCCCGAAAGACATACAAGGCCGGTCCCGTCCACGCAGCGCCGGTGTATGCAGAGCAGCCGCAGAGCAGCCGACCAGGCAGCGCCGGTGGAAGCAGCAGGCAACGCCACCATGGCAGCAGGCGCCACACGAGACGAACATGTGTCCAGAAACGCCGTCCATGCAGCCACCCAGGAAGACGTTCCACGCAGCCGCCCACACAGCCGGCCACCCATGCAGCCGCCGATGCAGCCACCCAGGAAGCCGCCCACACAGCCGCCCATGCAGCCACCACCCAGGGAGCCGGTGGGTGAAAGGATTCAGCAATGCCATGGCGACAGGCAGCCGGCCGGCACATTAGAGCATACGCGCATGGAGCCATGGCGTTTGTCCAAGCAGCCACCCATCAATGTGGTGAGAGGCGCACAGGTCAGCAGGAGACGTTTCACGAGGCAGCAGCAGGAGTGGATCGGCAGCAGAAGTGCAGTGCCACAAGTGTCCACGCGGAGGTTGGGCGGATCGGGGGAGGCGAGACACAGAATTGGAGGTTGAAATGGAGGGTGGGAGAGAGAGAGAGAGAAGGGGGAAATGGAGAGGGGGGAGGGAAAGAAGAGGGAGGAGATGGAAAGGGAGAGATGTCGAGAGCGGGGGGAGAGAGGGGAAAGGTTGGAAAAGCGGAGGAAGAGAAGAATGGAGGAGAGGAGAGGCATGGGAGGAGGGGAATGCGGGGAGCGGACAAGGGAGCAGAAAGGGAAGCAGAAAAGGGAGTGGAGAAATGAAGGAGGTAACTTTTTAATTAGGTCCACGCACGCAGGGGAGGTGAACGGATGAACGGGCCAGGCCGGTATGTTGGGAATGGAGAGAGGATGGATTCATGGAGGGAGGAGGGAGGGAGGGAGAAAGTATGGCGGGGAAAGGGGGGAAGTTTTATGGAGGCTGGTGGCAAAATCGGGAACACAGGTGGCTGAGCAGAGGTCCCAACATGGGAG